AGGCCGCGATCTCCAGGAGGCTCGTTCTCGTGACTCGACTTTATCCTCGATAGCCCTGTGCACGCAGGCCTCTCACGCTTGGCGCCGGCCACGCCGTACCCGTAACACTAAGAAGGTGCCGCTTATGGCGGCCACCGCACCAACGCGAAATTCACGTGCCGATGACAGAACGTGAGAGCGACCCTCCGCCCCGGTGCATGCGACTTTACACAATATCAGCCCAAGGGGCAATTTCACCGACAGCCTGGTCCTCCGACGGTTCTCCCTCTCGGAGCCTCTCGATCGTTTTTCTCCAAAACTTAGCCGGGCCGGGATGTCTGTTCGCTAGAGTAACTCGAAACGGAAGAGGACGAACAGGATCGCGATCGATGCGCGATCAATTCGCGAGCTTTCCCCCTACGGGGTTGCGCAGCCGCGTCGCGCGTTGTCGCGGCCAATTAGTGGGCTAGCGGTCCTTCACGCGCAAGGACGTGCGTGGCGAGATACGGGGCGCCTTGCAGCCCCGAGAATTTTTCCGGGCGGACCTCTCTTGCTGGCCGTCCCCGGTCGTCCGCGCCGATGTCGTGGCCGGGCGCATCGCCCTCACGTCCTGCGACTCACCGGACGTTAGGTGGCTTGCTGGGGTGCTCAGGATCCTTTTCTGCTCGTCATGTGTCCCTTGCACCATCCTGGGGCTCGAGCGTCCTTCGACGGAGGTGGCCGTTGCTTCCTTCCACTGGCCGGAAGCGCCTGTCGGCTCCGCTCCGCTTGTCTCCGGCCCGCGGGATTCTTCCGTGGTTGTCTTGCTTCCGGTGATTTCTTCGCTCGGCGAGGCTCCCACAACAGTTACATAAGGAAGAAATTCGCCGGGGATTAGAAAAATAACTTAACTCTAATATACGGCCCCCTGGAGATTTCGCTCGCTCGCGCGTCCCGACTTGGGTCAGGCGCGAATCCGCTTTGTGACGGCGAAGGGTCGCTGCGAAGCTGCAGCGAAACTGCAACGTCACAATATATACATATATACATTTGAATTAAGAGAATTTTATTTCTAGGATATTAATAGTACCCGGGTGGAAATTACGACCTGACGTTATATGGACCCCATTTAGTTTTCCATGAGTTAATGTAGGCGCTATATTGGAAGGCTAGCTTGGGGCTATACTGGGAGGTAACGACAATAATGACCAGGCCCAATATTGGAAAACTTTTTTGGCTCTGGTTCGCGATGCGCTGTAGGCCCAATATTGGAAAATTGTCTAGGTCCTGGTTCGCGAGGTGGTGCCGCTGAAATTTGAGAAAACTGTCTAGGCCGAATGTGACATATGCTTGATACATACGCAGTGGTCTACCACTGATTGAGCATACCCTTATACTTCTACCATGATAATAACCATTTTTTAATATAACTAATGTTATTCAATAATTATTGATGCTCAATCAATGGTAGACTACTGCGCATGTATCAAGCATACGTCACATTCGATCAGCCTTCGGCTATATCCGGAGCGGTTCGTGTCAATGTAATATGGTCGTCATGTCGCTAACACATGTGCAACACATGCCGAATAAATTCTGTAGTGCAAAGTCGAGTGATTTCACATTCAAAATATATTGTGAGGTTAAAAGATGCGGAAATTATCATCAAAAGACAAAAAATGAGTCGGATTGAAAGGAGTCGGAAAATTTTTCGGATTAAAAGGCATGCTTAAAAGCATACATTCGAATTTCGCGCTTAATGTTAACGTATGCTTGCTACATATATTTTGATTGGACACTGGGCGTGGCCATGCGCAAGAGCATACCCTTATACTTCTATCATGGTTATTATGGTCCTGTTTCACTGGCCAGACGCTAGCTAGCCCCCGGCTAGTTTTTCCATCTTGACACCCCAGCATAATTCTATCTAGTGCCTAGATGAAATACTAGGTAGCGCTCGGCTAAATTTCGATACTGGTGTGCCACGACCTTTCCCACGGGGTTCAATATAGAACATTGGAACGCCCAGATACATTTCCACTTGGGAATTGATTTACTTTTATGTATTATTTATGTATTATTTTTTACAGCGACACATAATAGATATGATAGTAAAAATTCCAGTACATATATACCAAATAAAATTCCATTTAATATTCTATACCGTGATAGTAGTGTATGCGGATACTTATCTACTGATGCAATGAAAGTGAGTCATTGTCAAGCAAACAGTTTTATTTAATTTCAATTATGCTTTATAAAAAATCTCAATTATATTTTATAAAAAATTTCCTAAAAAAAGAATATCAATTTTTTGTAGTTTATTGACCTTGATATTCAATATTAAACATTCGGGGAAGTGACAACCGAATCGGGATTCAGCTTTGTTTATGCGGAATTCGATGGCATCTTAGGAATGAGTTATCCCCAGATATCTTTCGAAGGAGTAACTCCTGTTTTTATCAATATGATTGATCAAGGCCTGGTAGAGCTACCAGTTTTTAGTATCTATATAGATCGGCATGTGTTTAAAAATAATTTTTTACTGAAATAATTTGTCTTCCTATATAATTTGTTTTTCAAAAGATTGTCTTTCCATATTAAAAATATTATTTTTCAATATTAAAAAATATATAATCTGTTCAGTAATTCTGAGAAGTATGGTGGTGAACTGATATTGGGTGGCTCCGATCCTTTTCGTTATGACGGCGAGTTGACGTATATTAATATTACTCGCAATGGATACTGGCAATTTACAGTGGATAAGTACGTGATTATTTTCTATGTTACATTTATACATATGTATACATATGTTATTATTGTATACATATGTATATATATGTTATTATTATACATATATTAATTATGGATAAAGTCCGCATATGTGATTGAGTTGTACAATATTGGCAACCGTGATTAGATTATATAATATTGACGGCCTAGGCAACGCTGACATTGTACAGCAAGCAATTTTGCTCGTAACATACATAATACTACGGACATTACTAACATTATAATAATTATTACATTAGGCAACAAAATTTGATCTTTTTTCCTATCATGAATTATATCAGATGTATACTTTTGCCTGTTAAATACAAATCCGTTATTTTAATTAATTTATTAGCTTCTTGAGAAATAATTTTGAGAAAAATTGCTTCAAAGAGGCCAAAAATGGATTTTGAGGATTTTTAAGACGTAACATTAACAGCAAAATTTTTTTAGATCTTATTAATGCCGCACAAAAGTATCAACTTTTTGTTTTAAATTGTATTTTTTATTTCAATATAATTTTTTGTTTTAGAGATATATCAATTTGAAAATAGATTTTTCTTCGTGTAGTACAATATATGAAAAAAATATTTTACTTCATCTTAATATTGCATTATGTGAAAAGTATATAGATATTATTATGTAAGTATAAACTTACATAAAACACTTATTTTCTACATAATGCAGTAATAAGATGAAATAAGCCTTTTCTATACATTACATTATATGAAATAGAAACTATTTTCAAATTGCTAATGCTTTTGAAAATGAAAAAATTATACAAAAATGAAACAAAATGTATTTTAAAATTAAATTGATACTTCGGCAAGATCCTAAGATAATTTAGAAAAAGATTTTTCTGTTGATGCTTCATGAAAATCCTCAAAATCGTCGTTTTTGTTGTTTCTTCGACATCATTTTTCTCAAAAATGTAACGTGATAGTTAAATTTGGACAAAGAATTCATGTTCAGCAGACAAAAATACAAAAATGACTATTCATATTCATGTTTTAAAATAGCACTGGACGGTAATATTACTTATTTCTCTCATTGCACTTAGATTAGTGTTCAATTTTTATTGACAATATCCGTTATTAGCATTACAAAATTAATAAAAATTGACTGTCTTGGTATAGGATTTTCATTATTGTCCAGTGTTGTATGCCATCTAATTGTTAATACTATTACACTGTAGGATTCGAATAGAAAGTAGCACCGTATGCGCGAATGGTTGTCAAGCTGTCATCGATTCGGGCACCTCTAATCTAGTAGGACCGTCATCGGATGTCGCTGTTATTAACAAACTGGTCGGAGTTATTACTTCTAACGGCAAAACAATTGTAAATAATAGATAACAACTTTTTACGATGGCAGCTCTTTTTCAACAATATTAATTAAATTATTAAAATAAATTAATAAAAATAGAAATTCAAAGCCTATAACCTTATGGCCTCAGTGGTCTAACTGGTAAGGACGCTCACACGGAATGTAAGAGATCCGGATTCGACTCCCGGCCGAGGTAAATTTTTCGCAATAAATTTATTTACAGTTATTCAGCACATTAACATTTTGCCAATATGATTCCTAATTGTACATCAAAATTATTTAAGAATTGCTTGTCAACTTAATTTAGTTCGTGATATTATCCCAGTAGTTTAATTGCGTTTATAAGTCCGGAAAACCAATTCTCGGCGCGCAGTTTGAATGACTACAAACATGGTATATCTGTAAGTATAGGATATACATACATACATAGTATAGGATATATAATTCACATTGAATTATTTAAAAAAGCGTTATAGATCTAGCTTCGACCGTTATAGGCTTTGAATTTCTATTATTAATTGTGTTTCTCACATAGTACGGTCTTAAAGTGTTTAAATAAAATTAATAAAAGTTTGATATATTACTGATTACACTAATATGGATTACTAATGCTAAGCTTTGTTAAAGGTGGATTGTGACAAAATTTCTAATTTGCCCAATGTTGATTTCGTCATAGGTGATAAAATATTTAGATTTACTAGTAAAGATTACATATTTGAGATAAATATATATTATATATGATCAAATAACGGTTTAGAATAAAAATATTGTTTTAGAATTATTCTTGATTGTTTAAAATTATTTTATAATAGAAAATATCATGTTTCTTTAATTTATTATAGAATAAACAAAAAAAGAGTGAGATAGAATGCATAAGTTTTTTTGAGACTTCTTATTCAGAAAATCCGATATGGATTTTGGGTAATGTATTTCTTCGTCGGTACTATACCGAGTTCGACATGGGTCACTACAGAATGGGATTTGCCCCTGCAAAATAATGTTGTGTCCTTCGGTGCAACAAGATAAAATTTTCGGTCCGCCTGAACCTCCGAGAAGCGCTGAGATAATGTTCGAAGGGCGACGAGAGAACATTTACTTTACAACTTTCCACACACAATTTATTTAAAATAATTCCCTTTTTACTTAACACTTATTCATAATTATTCAGTTAGGTTAAATATTGATAATAATATTAATGCTAGTATTGATGTTTGTACTTCGCGTTAGTACCTACTTCGTGGCTATATAAGTGTTACTTTTAATCTTGGTATTCGCGCTCGCGATGATGATTAGACAGGTCATGCGACGAGCGTTATCGCGGATGTAGCTAGACGTTGGTCAATCGCGACGCGCGTAACGTGTCTATGTTTTACTTATAAGAAACTCCCGCGGTCTGCGATTAGGCAGCCGAATATAAAGCAGTCGCGGTATCTCATTACGATTTCCGATGTGATCATATATAGTCACAGGAATTGTTCGGCGCGTGTGCGATCTTAATCCGCACATGCTGCTGAATTTGCAGCTTTGCATTTCCGCTGGCCGTTATTGCCATGTCGAAATGCAAAGGTTGCTTCTTGGTAATAGTCTTGCATTTCCGTGAGCTCGTTGCTATGCCGAAATGCAAGACTACTAAGGCCCAGTTCCATAACTCACGGTTAACTCTTAACCGAGGTTCAACTTATTCATTGTCTCTTTCCAATTCTAGAATTGGAAAGAAATAAGAAACAAGTTGAACCTCGGTTAAGAGTTAACCGTGAGTTGTGGAACTGGGCCTAAATCGTGGTAGCATTCAGGGATTACAACAATAATCATCGATTGATTTCTCAAGATTACTTCTAAATGTTAGAAGATTTAGGGTAACTCCGGTATATACGCCGCTCCTAATAAAAAATTAATTTATTAAGTATTATTAACTATTTTTAAGGTAAACGAACTATATCAGTAAAACCTTTGTAGTGTCTACTATGAAAAAAATATTAGAAATCCGAAATATTTATTTTTCGTATTAAAAAAAGAACTTTGAAACCCTTGCATTTCTTTAATTGTAATAACTCAAAAAGTATTATGTCATATATTATAAATTTTCTGCTCTCAAATATCGTAAAAGTATCATTTTTATCACTAATATTATAAATTTACAATTTAAGTATATTTTAAAAACTTACAAGTACAAAATACGCAGATAGTACTAAATAAAATAAGGAGATGATAATCGGATGACATTTTGATGCATGTAAAAATGTTAGAATTTTCCAACATATTAATATTTTTATAGTAATAATAACAGTAATAATCCCACAGTCAATTTTGGGTTACTAATTAATATTTGTTAATAGAACTATACACGTAGTAATTATTACTAACATTATAACAGTAATATAAAAAGTATAATAACATATAATTATAATTACAAGTATAAAAAGTTTTTCTCTCAATGTGATTGCATGAAAGAAATTTTCTGCGCGGTTTACATCTTATTAACGTCGCATTTTTTTCGGTGAGCCTTTCTGACGCGGGAAAAACCACACGCAATATTAAATTTTATTTTTTTTAACGAAACATTCCCAAAGATATCTTGTACTTAGTTTCTAGTTTAGGTAATTAAATTTACCGTTTACAAAAATAGTTACAGACTATAATCCTTAACCGCGTTGAGACGATTGGTTTTTTAAATTCATTATTAATAAATTTAAAAAAAGTGTTGAATTAGATTGAAAAAAATCTTTTGACATCAGTCAAAACTTGCATTTCTTTCAAAAGTGACAACAAAATCGGTAGCTTTCAATAATCAAATTTTAATTCTAACATCAGATTCGTATTTAGTTGAAAAAATCCTTACATAAGATAGTTTTCGAATTTAAATTTCTGGTTACTTAACTTCTGATAATATAATAATTTCCAGATTGTTATAATATTGCATATTTTAGAAGACCTTTTTTAAAAAAATTAAATTCCACAATTTCCTTTCCTACTCGTTAAAAATTCCAAATTTTTTTAACGATTAAATTAAAGAACATTCGTTTCGATCGGTTAAGAATTACGGTATTATAGAAATTTTTGAATAATAAAATTTCATTTATCCTTACTATGCGCTGGAAAGAATATATTAAAACATCGATGAATGTATAAAATTAGATGCATTGCTAAGGGGATGGCTCAAAAATTAACCAAAACGTCTAATTAAGTAATCATAAAACAAATTATATAGGACATCCCGAAATTCGAGAATAATGTTATCGTAGCGTGAAACTTTGTGAAAAATTAAGTGAAAGATATTAATATTATTAATAAAAATGTAAGCCATTCTTTCTTCCCTAAAGTAGGTGTTTAAGTATAAACGTTTTTTTAAAGTTTAACTGATCATGAACGTTAGTTAAAAATCATCCATATATGATGTGCGTGCAATGGTATTAGACATTAAATAAAACATTGCCGCTGTACGTAAACTATCACACAGATGATGACTTTGTAACTAACGTTTATGACTAGTCAAACTTTAATCATTTAGTTAAAAAGTTATTTTACGGAAAAAATAATGGCTTATACTTTTATCACTTAATTGTTCACGAAGTTTTACGTTGCAATAATATTGCTCTCGAATTTCGGGACACTGTGTATATTGTTTTCAGATAAACTTTTATGCATTGTTTATCGCAACGACTGTAAATTGCTCATTATTTCAGTCATCTCTTACACTATATTTCTTTTGTGCACCTATCTTATCAAGACGAACAATAACATATAATTATATTTCTTAAGATTAATATTGTTTTTTAAATTTATTTAAATATACAGAGTTGCTTTAATGTTTATATGTGAAATATGCGTAAATGCACGAAACACAATTTTTTTAAATTTATGAGAAATTAAATTTAATGTAAAAAAAGAACTGAGATCGGGCGTTTTTAGAACGCCCTACTAGCTCAATAGTACGAGGGTCGTTTGAAAAGTCCGTGCAAAAATAAAAACTACTTAATTTTTTGGGGTAAACTTTTTTTATTTTTCAACATAGTCACCTTTTAGGCTTATACACTTCGTCCAACGCTGCTCTAATTTGTTGATCCCTTCCGAATAATAGGATTTGTCCAAGTCTGAAAATAGCCATTTGTTTCTGCAATCACCTCCTCGTTTGCATAAAATCTTTTTCCCGCCAGCCATTTCTTCATATTGGGGAACAAATAGTAGTCCGAGGGAGCCAAGTCTGGAGAATAGGGGGGATGTGAAACGAGTTGGAACCCTAATTCCATTAATTTTGCGACCACAACTGCTGAGGTGTGAGCTGGTGCGTTTTTGAAAATCACTCGACTTCCTCGATTCAAATGAATGCCAAACACAAACAAATAGACCGATCTGGCTAAAACGTGGTGTGTGTTCTTCCAAGAGATGCTACTAACTAAATCTAACCTTGATACGCGCCAGTAGTGCCATTTCTCTGACTTTGCACGGACTTTTCAAACGACCCTCGTACTTTTCACCTATTCCTAAACACAAACACATAAGCTCGAAAATAGCATTGGCAGCGCTAATAATTGGTTTCGCTCTTGTATTCTGTTGTGCGTTTCAACTGTGAACTGATTTGAAAAGGATTATATCTAAAACCTTGATACTTGATAGCTTTAATTGCTAGAAAAATCGAGAAACAGCATGTTTCGACTTTTTGTAGTAATCGCGACACTTGTCGTGCTGATTAATTCGGAATTGCTGAGGTGAGATAATGGAAACGTTGATTGAAATTCGTATATACATATATTGTATGATATTGTGTATTTGTGAAACATGTATACATATAATATAATGGATTCGTTTTTTATGTTGCTTCAAGTATTCCGTTATAACAGGCAAACCCTATGTCAAAAAGCATTGACATCGATAATATACGAAATAATTGGCCTATAACTCTTTTGGACAGAAGTAAAATTGGTGAAGATGTAAAGAAACCACTGTTTAATTTTTATAAGAGACATTACTATGGCGTTATTTCAATGGAACTCCACCGCAGGAGTTTAACGTACGACACTGGTTCTCCAAATTTTTTTGTACCATCCATAACTTGCGAAAATGTTATACCTACGGTTGATAATATTGCTTGTTGTATGTAAATCATAACGTCACATTTTCTTCGACATTCCATTATTTTTTTATGTTCACATTTATATTATATTTATATTTCACGTTAGTTATACAGGGTGTCTTAAAAAAACGGATCGAAACACAATGGGGACGTAGATTGGATCAAGGGGAACAAAACAGTTTTGTACCATTTTGCAGTTGACGCAATATTTAACGAGATATTAACGTTTAAAGATAGGCGAATACAAGCGTCCGACCAGCCTACTCATGTACTGCTGCCGGCAGGACGGCCTACCGTGACGGTTTCAATCCGTTTTTTTTAGACACCCTGTATATGTCACAGTCAAAATGTACATTTTTGTAAATGGATACACTTCCCAGCAACACGCATGTCTCGATTTCAGATTTTTTTTATTGCTGGGTACCTAGGCAATGTATATGTACACATTCACATAAGATTTATTACAGTAAATGCATCGATTGTAGTAGACAACAGATGTACATATTTACTAAGTTGATGCTTTGACTGTAACATATACAAGTACATTTATAATTAATAATATCACCATAATAGTGATTTACTAATAATTACACATATAGAAATGATTTTAATTGCTTTCTGTTATCTTAATGTCTTATATTAAGTAAAAATATAGGGTAGGGACACGATCTGCTATATTTCAAGTATAATTTTTATAATGATTTAAATCTAATAGTTTAAAGTTAAAATCACTGAGAAGGTCAATATTACGAAATTTAGTTTCACAATTACATATGGTTTATTTTATTTATTATATATATGTTCTAAAGATACAAATGATCGTGTTTGACGATGAAATTGTAAGATACAATTTATATATGTGTTTATATGTTATATGTTAAGTGAAAAAGTAATAAATATTTTTGATGTTATAAAGATTGTTAATATATAATATATAATAATATATATCTTTAAA